CTGGTAAAGTGAATAAAAAACAATGTTACTATATTGTAATCAATATCACGTTTGCACTGGTTCGGTTCAGCACTCGAGCAACTCTGAATCGTATTGAACCGAATTGAACCGTTTGCTCGGGAATTATTTGATCACACGTGTTCACAAGCACATTCAGCAATATGCAATTAGTGTATAATTAGTGTATAAATGCGTGTGGCCAAGCAGTATAACGAAATAGTAATGAATCATATACAAAAAGGAATCGGTTTTAGGCGGATTCGATTCTTTACTGTTCACTAAGGAGCCGATTCATAGAACCGAACGGACACGACTCGACATGCAGGCAACGGCTCTCCAAATTTGAAATTCACCTGTCGTCTTTCATCCAGCGAATTCATCCTCGGTAAGTGTTTTAAAGTCAAATTCTGTCCGTTAAAGGATTGTTTTATAAGTATTTCTGTGTATTGTGTGTGTAATTTAAAAAGAATTAACCAAGTGACATTAGTTGTAGGTTTTTATGTTATGTCACGCTATCCGTTAACAAACGGTATTTTAAACAAGAAATAACAGACGCCAGGCGGTCATTGTAGTGTTTGCGAGGTATTAGATACAGTGAGTTTATCTTGAGTGAGTTTTTGACCATACGTTAAGTTACCTGAAAAAACATAACTTTAACTTATTGTAACTGCATTAATGAATTCTCTATTTCAGCACAACACTGAGATGAAGGCGAAGTCACCATGAAAAGTTAAACGTTTACCATTAAGGTAAGCTCTGGTCTTCACATAGTCATTATGACTAAGCTATCATTATGGTAAAATTTTTCAACTGTAAGTTAGTTAACGTTATTTAAACTAAACTCATAATGAAATGAGTCTTAACTGTTTTATTAAATGGAGCTGAAAATTAAATGCAGTTGAATTATTTTAAGCTAACGTTAATATTAACAAAATACATATTAATTGTCTATTTCTCAATAATGTTAATGAGCTTGATGTATAGTGTGTCATTAATTGTACATTTAATTTTTGGTGTTCAGGTGTACCTGAGGTGAGTGTACGTTCTGAGTACACAGATATAAGCCAAAGTCATTATCACTATATATATATATATATATATATATATATATATATATATATATATATATATATATATATATATATCCATCCTATTCTAGGAGAAATTGATGGGGTCAGGGAATGATTTGTGTACAAATGTATTTTAACCCCATACAGATTGGTATGGTTGTACCATAGATTTAGATTAATTAATGTTAAGTCTTATTTTACTCTTATTATATTTATCTGTTTTTCAGCTACAGTAATTGATGTTGAAAAACTGATGCAACCAATCACTCCTCACTTGATTATTCAAGGTAATGTTGATGTCTTCCTCATTTTGATTAGATTTATAAATGTCAAGTTGTTCACAGATTTGTTGTGAGGAGTTTCATGTACAACCTCTTTTTCTTCTTCCAGCAGTTCCTAAGATAAAAAAATCTGGTGTTAAAACAGCCACGGCTAGGCTATTTGCCTACCAAGTGCTGAGTAAATATTAGACAAACATTTTTTTCTATAACTGTTGTCTTTGTGTTTATTAGCAATTTTACTGGGCATATGTGTTTGTTTTTTTTTCAAACAGCCTGGAAACTGTAAGTTTAGTTCAATATGTTATTTTATGCTATTCATTTTTGTGTTAACATGGATTGCATGTTGAAGCTATCGTTTTATAGTGGGAAAATGTAAAAGAGAATCACTGAATACAATGGCATAATGATTCTGCTTGTTCAAAAAAAAGTACTTGAATTAGTTTTCCTCAAGCGACACATCAGTTTTTATGACTATTGCTTGACACTTGAATTGAAGGGACAGTTCACCCAAAAATGAAAATAATAGCATCTTTGGCATCCTCAACTTGTTTCAAAATAGTTATACATTTAATTTGTTCCGTTGAACACAAACTCGTATTTTTTAAAGAAATTTGGTTCAAATATGGATGTCAATAGTTACTGGTTACTAACATTCTTCAAAATATCTGCTTTAGTGTTTAACAGAAATTTAAATGGATTTAAAACACATGGAGTAATGGTGGCAAAAAAGTAAACTATCCTTTTAAATATTTCATTTCTTAGACTTATTTATATATGTCTTGTCTTTTGCCATATTGTCTTTCTAGCTCAGATTGTGATGAACCTGGAATGTGACACCAGTTACTCTTAAGACAAGAACCAAATAAAGCACAGATGTGGAGGGATTTGCAGCCAAACTAACTGGAGGGAAGGAACCTTTAGGTAAAAGCACCTGCTTTATTTAGATCTGAAGTATTTTATTTGACATAGAGATTTATTGTTTTAATTCTAATTTAAAGCAAACAAGGTTGTGCACCCCTGGTCTAAAAGCTCAAAATGCTGTTTCCGTGATAAGGTTAAATGTAGTTGAGAAATAGATTCATTAGGATCAATGCTTAAAGTAAAAATTTTCTTCTCTCTGTAGACCAAACATGTTTACTATCCCTCACATTTTAATAAATTGTTTCTGTTTTTGTTTCTTACAGTGTGGGTGAACATACTACCTGGATGTCCAACAAAGGCTGCACAATAGCTCATTTGATAGCACATATTCTGTCCTGTCTACATCTCTGATGACCTGGAAGTGCTTCGACATCAGTGAGTAATACATCTTTATATTGTCATGCATACAGGATTTCTGTAAGCTTAGCTTTAATGTTAGTTTGTAATCAGCAGTGACTGTTTTAAAAAATTAAGTATTTAAATTATTCTAAACGTTTTACTGATGCTGTGCACAGTAACGTTATGATGATTTAGTTTGAGGAAATGTCACTAGAGGGTTTGTATAAAAAATAAATAAATAAATAAATTGTATGAAATGACTCGATAAAATGTTTATTTGTCTCGCTGACATGCCATCACTGCTGCATATTAAAATACAGTAATACGAATTGACAGCAGAATATTACCACAAACATTTCATGAAGTAGGCTAGACTGCTCTTTAGTTCTCTACTCAACTTTAACACATTTCCTCGTGTCGCTGAGCCTCTCTGCAGATTTTGCCAAAAACGAATGCTTAGTGATTACTTTGTTTTATGCAAACCAAATATCAGTAACTCATCATTAGCATTATTTAAAAAAAAAATCACCCACAGCTTTCATGTTCTCTAACGCAATCTTATCTGTAAGTTAGAAGTGGATTTATACGTGTTAAAAGCCTAAAAGTATTTAATTAACATTAGTCACGTTAAATTAGATTATTTTTATTTATTTAATTTTAAATATGTAGCCTCTTAAAGTGAGAATGAACTGTGTTTACCCCTCTTAAATCCGTGGAAGCACTAGTAGTGTGATCATGGAATCAGATATTCGAGCTATACAGAGTCGGACATTAAGTTAAGATGAGACTTTATTTTTTACACACCTGTGTGGACACCTGACTAGCGATCTTCAAGAACAATGCTCGCTGATCTTTTCCCCATTAACGTTAGTGTAATTGTGAATTGACAACAAACTGTATTTCACCAACAAAAACAATTAAAAAAACTGTTATATATATTATAACTGTTATATATATTTATATATATATATATATATATAATAACAACAGTGCAGTGTTTCGTTTCTGAATGAATTAAATGGTTTGAGGGATGATTAGTTTTTACTCCAGTGATTGATTTTGCGTGTCATTTTTGCAGGATCATCAGAAGTGCTCCTGCCCTTTTTCACTGTCCCTTTCCACATCATTTGGCCTTCATCATTTCCTGTCTTGTAGCAGTATTTTCACCTGTTTTTAAAATTGTAATAATTTTTGATACATTAATTGTTGACTGGTTTTAATGATCAATTGTTTATTAGTGTTCTCTTGTTTTATATTGAATAATTGCTACTGTTTTAGCATGGTTTACACAATAAACCTTTATTGTGAAGTTAAAGTTTCAGTTTCTTTATTTTTCTTGTATTTCTTGAACAGTTAAAATAACACTTGTGCAATTTTTGAACATTTTTACCCATTATAAAGTAGCACTATTAAATAAAATAAAATAACATTTAATAACTGTAAAATACTATACAGTAATAATGAAAGTAACGTTAAAATACCGTAGTTCTTCATGGTAAAAATGTACAATAAAATACTGTTTTCAGTTTTGCAGTATGTGTATCACTACTGTAATTGGTGTTACAGTAAAAATCAACAACAGTAAAATGATGTATTACATTTTACAGTAAATGTAATACTAATGTAATTAGTATTACAGTAATGTTACTGTTTTATGAAATACAGCAGCTACTGGATAATTGTTGCCAGTAACTTACTGTTAATTTAACAAGAAATCGTTTACAGTGTATGTAAATTATTGCTCTTTTTAAAGATCTGTCTGACTTTGTTATGATGTTCTTGTATTGTCAGTTCAAGCATTAATTGTAAAAAAAAAAAGTGAATCAACTGGAGAAAGGTTTGTTTTAAAGCTTTTACACAGATATAAAGCGAATGATTAAAGTTTCAGGTTTTTCATCCAATGATGTACCTGCTGTTGACAATATTATTTTAACCCTTTATACAACGTAATACTATTTTACTCAAAGTAAAAATAACTATTGAACAATGTATGTGTATTAAGTGTCTTAATGAAGGTTTAATTGATTAAATAACATAATTTCACTTCATTCTAAGTATACATCACTGTATATAAGAAATGGAGTACTAGTTTTAATCAGCTCATTTGTGGCTGTTGTTTCTTGCTCGGACTTACTGGATTTATTTTTGTTAATTACTCTCATATAAAGAAACTGTTGAAGAGAAGTTATTTTGTTACTATTCATAGTTTAATTTATTTTAAACAGAACATTTGTATTGCTTTGTTAATTTTTAACAGGATAAAATGCCCAAACGCAGAGAAAAACTATATATAATAAGTCATGACTCATGACTGAGTAAGTGGCAAAAAAGGTTAAAAAAAAAAAAAACTTTTATTTTGCCGTGACTTGTGACGTCATAAGCCTGCGCCGCTCTCGCGCTGTGATTCAACTGGAGAAAGGTTTGTTTTAAAGCGTTTAGCCTTATATAAAGCGATTGATTAAAGTTTCAGTGTTTTCATTCAGTGCTAAATTATGTACCTGTTGACAATATTATTTTAACCCTTATACAAAGTAGTACTATTTACTAAAACTTACAGTAATAAGGTCTATTTTTTTAATAAAGATAGGATAAACTTTTTGTTCCGGAGAGCACAATTTGTCTTGTGCAAAAATGTGCTATAAACAGACAATAAGATAAATAAAACAAACAAAACAATTAAGAAGATACTTGAATAAAGTAAAAGTGTGTAATAAGTGTTTTAATGAAAGTTTAATTGATTAAATAGCACAATGTCATTCCATTATAAATATACATCACTATATATAAGAAATGGAGTACTAGTTTTAATCAGCTGATCAGTGGCTATTGTTTCTTGATCAGACTTATCTGATTTCTGTTTGTTAATGACTCTCATATAAAGAAACTGTTGAAGCAAGTGTTGAAGAGAAGTTATTTTTTTTCTGTTCATTGTTTTATTTATTTTAAACAACATTTTTATTGTTTTGTTCATTTTAAACAGGATAAAGTGTCCAAACACAGAGAAAAACTCCTGCTGAAGCGACTGATCTCCACACTTTTATAAAGATGGCGTTTATTAAAGAGGAGAGTGAAGATGTGAAGATTGAAGAAACATTCACAGTCAAACAGGAAGATCTGCAGGAACAAACAGGTTGGATATCTTAATGATATATACTGATTTTCACTCTCAAAGACCAACTCAGTCATTTGATCCTCATTCAGATTAATAATAAGAATACTAAATTAAATCCATCTTACAGACCTGAGTGTGCTGCCTAGTTCTCTTATATGCACATTAGCACTCATTGAAAGAGGAATGAGTTTATTTCTTGTCACTTGTTCTCATGTTTTTTTATCATTATTTTTATGTATTATTAGTCTCCCATTTTATCTACCTTCTTAAGGTTATTGCTTTTCTAGTTCTCCTTCTGTTTGTAAAGCATGCTTGAGCACTGGCACTATATAAAATAAACAAAAACAGTACATTTAGAGAAGTTTAATTGAGCTGACTATATTTGACCTACAGTATTCTCATAGAAGATATCTGCTATTACAGTGATAATGTTGGCTTAGTACTTTGTACTAATATGTCACTGTGATCACAATTCCCTTTTTTCATCAACTTTATGGGTTTAAACTTTTTTCTAGTAGTTGTTACTAGTTCTCACAGATAGTATCTGAGTTAGAATTAAATCATTATTATAATAACTAATTACCAGGGCTATTGTGTTTAAACAGGGTTTCTGCTGGGCCTTAAAACGTTGTAAATTCCAAAATCCAAATTTCAGGCCTTAAAAAGTATTAAATTTACTGAAATATTGTGTTGTAGGTCTTAAACCTTTTCTTTTTAAAGGTCTTAATTTTTCTTTGTTCATGTTTTCCTACTCAATCTGGCCAAAACCCATACAATCACCAACAATCCATCTCAATACAACTTTAAACTTTTCATTCAAAAAGGTCATTTTAACTCTATTTATCATAAAGGTTTAATTAATCTAACTTGGTGAAACCTGCAGAAACCCTGGTTTAAAATATGTCAAAAATCATGGAAGCCCCCAATTTTAAATATGCTAAATTTGCTAAGTTTGTATTGTTTTGTTTTTGCTATTATTTTTATTTTGTTTTTACCTGAACTGATTGTTCTAGCTGTCCTGTATGGTGACCTTGAGCGTCATGAAAGGGGCCTTTAAATAAAATGCATTTTTATTGTCTGCAAGTTGTTTATTGAGATTAAAATAATATTTAAAAAACAAACAAATTGAAAATGAGATGATAATATATATATATATATATATATATATATATATATATATATATATATATATATATATATATATATATATATATACACACATACACACACACACACACACACACACACACACACACACAGAGAGAGACAGTTGAAGTCAGAATTATTAGCCCCCCTGAATTATTAGCGCCCCTGTTTATTTTTTTTCCCCAGTTTCTGTGTAATGGAGGGAAGATTGTTTCAGCACATTTCTTAGCATAATAGTTTTAAAAACTTATTTCTAATAACTGATTTATTTTATATTTGCCATGATGACAGTAAATAATATTTTACTTGATATTTTTCAAGATACTTCTATACAGCTTAAAGTGACATTTAAAGGCTTGACTAAGTTAATAAGGTGAACTAGGCAGGTTAGGGTAATTAGGCAAGTTATTGTATAACGATGGTTTGTTCTGTAGATTGTCGGGAAAAATATTGCTTAAAGGGGCTAATAATTTTGTCCCAAAAATGTGTTTTAAAAAATTTATAATTGCTTTCATTCTAGCCGAAATAAAACAAATAAGACTTTCTCCAGACTAAAAAATATTATCAGACATACTGTGAATATTTCCTTGCTCTGTTAAAAATCATTTTGGTAATATTTAAAAGAGAAAAAAAATTAAAACGGGGCTAGTAATTCTGACTTCAACTGTCTGTGTGTGTGTGTGTATGTGTATATATGTGTGTGTGTATATATATATATATATATATATATATATATATATATATATATATATATATATATATATATATATAGCAACCTATGTGACTGCTTTGGGAAATAACCATTATTGTAGACATCACAGGATGACTGATTGTGAAGGAACATGTAGTCTGGCACATTTGCTACCCACGACAAGTCAAGATTTAAAAAGAAAAACAAAATTGCATGATCTGATGTAGTGACTAAACGACAGTAAAAATCATGTGATCTGACCAGGGCTTTAGCTGTTGTATTGGAGTCGAAAGAATATATAAAGTAGAATGTTCTTTTAACAGTGCCGATATGTTTAAGTTTGTCCTTTTGCAAAATGTTTGTCATTTCTTTTCTGCAAATGAGACTTTTTTAAAATCTGCTTGATTCTTTAAAAACCAAAAGCAGTCCCCGTCAATTGGTGTTTTTTTTTCCATAAGATACACCTTTGTGACTGTTTTATTTTATGTGTATAGTCTTTAATGTGCTTTCAAATAATTTTATTCTTTTCAAAGCAGCACACAGATGCAAATTTATCCTTGAAAACGTGGCATGAGAGCAATGCATGTGCAATCAATTCCTGATCCTTTGCACACATTTTTAAAACAAAAGACAAGATAATTTAATTACTTTCAATGTGCTAAATATTTGTTAAAGGATTATTTAAAAAAAGCTTATACACTTATTTAAACTGTAAAACTGTCGGCGCCATCATATCTTATCAGTTACATTCCCGCATAAAACCATACTTTCTAGCGTGAAAATGTTGCTCACTTATTGTCAAATTTGTTTAACAATGAGAGATCAAGTTGCATGTGATGTGGATTTGCTTCACTTAATTATCCAGTGTGTCCATATGTCTAAAATATCCTGAAGCAGCAATACTGTTTTGTATTGTCGCATAACATTCACGCTTTTTTTAAAGAAAAAAATATATATCTTGCAACATTAATGCACGTCAGTAACTCGCCAGTAACTTTTTAAAATATGTTTCAGTGCTTCATTGCCAATTAACCCAGCATATAAGCACACGCGGAGCAAGCAGACGCCATCCTTTTTAAGCTGAAGAGACTTTGCTAACAAGGGACAGTCATTATGGCGATGGTAAATAGCATTTTCGTTCCCCTCCTCGGGAAACGAGGGTTACTTTAGTAACCTGAGCGTTCCCCTTCGGATGGGGAACTCCAATGCTATTAGTGGATTTGATTTTAGGAAAATCCACAAATTGGGAGAACTATGGAAAACGCCATAATGACTGCACCTTACCAACGCCTCCGATGAGAGGATAGTCAAGCAAGCGTGACACACCCACATCATGGGAGGCACGGTCCTCCAACGTGTCCCTGGCCCTAACTTATCCCACTTCAACGGAAGTTTTATGGATTTAGGTATATTTTTTGGAAGTTGCGAGCGTCTAGATAATTCTAGGAAGAATTCTGAGGGAGAAAAGATGGCAAGATTACATATGGACTAGCCCTAAGAAGGGGGAGTGCGCATAAAGAAGGTGGTTAGCGGAGAGGGAAGACACGGGTCCACCCGAGAGGGGGGACTGAACCGTGGCAGAATAAGCATCTGGGATCACCTAGTGGGGATCTTGCATAGCAGGCACCTATACCCAAAACGCAGGCTGACCAACGGGCAGGCCTACAACTTAGTGGGCCAGCAAGTGACTCCTCCGCTGAGTCAGTGCTGGGGGCCATTGAGGAATCGGTTCATAGTGGAATTTGGCCCGAATTCCAGGCACGAGTCACTGACCGAAAATGCCTCCAGGTCCTCGACCCTCTAATGGAGGCCAACGCGACCAGCAGAGCTGTCTTCAGGGACAGAATCTTAAAGATACTGATTTGAGTGGCTCAAAGGGATCTGTGCGCAAGCTCGTGAGAACGAGGGTGAGATCCCAAGAGGGCATGAGAGGGGGGGGTTGAATTAATTCGCCTAGCGCCTCTGAGGAACTGGATGATGAGGTTATGCTTTCCCACGGTGCCGCCAGCTACCGCATAATGATGAGCAGAGATGGCAGCCACGTAAACCTTGAGAGTGGAGGGCGACAGCCTGCTCTCCAGCTTCTCTTGAAGGAAAGAGAGCACAACACTAATCTGGCAGGTTCGGGGGTCTTCTCTGCGAGAGACACACCATTCAGTGAATAGACTCCACTTCAGGGCGTAGGCGCGCCTCGTGGAGGGGGCTCTAGCCTGAGTGATGGTATCAACCACCGCACTTGGTAAGTATTCCTCGCCTTGAATAGTAACTGCGCGAGCAGGCTTACTGGGGGAAACCCATACTTGCGCATGCCCCGAGGCCAGCTGTGGGCCAGTGCATCCGTGCCGAGAGAGCCCTTGGTGAGGGAAAAGAACAACTGGCAATGAGTGTAGACCGTGACCCACCGCTCTTTTTTGTAAGATGAATTACGGGCTGTAAAACCCAATCTCCATCCCGGCTGGAGGGACTGGCTCGATTGCACCCTTTGCCAGGAGGGCAGCAATCTCCTCTCGCAAGACAGGGCGGACAGGGACCCTGGTGAAATACACACCCGTGAACTTGGGGGGCCGTTTTGCGGACTGGATCGCATAACCGAGTCTGATTGTGCATATGAGCCACCGCGAGCGGCTGGCTCGCGCTAACCAGGCAGGCAGAGCCTCCGCTAATGGAGTCATCGCTACATTCGCTGACGTACCAGCGGTGGGGCAGCACGGAGTGGGTGTGCTGATCCGGGCAGTGCGAGGGTCCCGCGGAAGAGCTGGAAACCGTCTCCCCAGCGCTCGTGAGCCACTGGCGAAGCATGTAGAACCTACGAGCTGGAAGGCAGCGTGTCCCGGACTGGCAAGGTTCATGCTGTCACATCCGGGGAAGGGGAAAAGTGCTCTTCCATTGATGTTTTCGTGGCACTAAAAAGTACCGTTGGAATAGGGGCCCCGCGGGGAAAGAGGCCTGTCTCAGGGACGCTTCGCGGTCCGTTTACCGGACTTAACAGCACCCTGAGCAGGGGGGGGCTGCCGGCTTTTGAGGTGCTCGACGCACCCGCTTCGCCGGAGCCGCTTCGCTCCTCAGCGAGGAGCAGCGGAGGTGGATGGCTCGGCGGGTGGATCGGGCTTACGGTCCCGCCGATAGATGACATTGCCCATTTCATCCGACTGCTCTCTCACCGCCTTGAATTCCTGGGTGAACTCACCGACGGTGTTGCCGAACAGGCCAGCCTGGGCTATGGGCGAGTCAAGAAAGTGAACTTTGTCGACATCGCGCATATCGGCCAGGTTTAGCCAGAGGTGGACATCATCCTCCCCGGCGCACACGCGGCGGACTTAGTAGTCCGAAGAGCATAGTCGGTCGCGGTTAGACCCGCCCTCGTGCAGCTCGGATAGCGCCTGCGCTTGGTAGCGCTGTTAGGTGGCCATCGCGTGCAAGGCGGAAGCAGCCTGGCCCGCAGCCTTGTAAGCTCTGGCTCCGAGAGGGCAGATAACCTATAGGCTTTGGACGGGAGACGGGGCGGACCCCGCCATGTAGGGGCGCCACGCGGGCAATGATTGACCTCGATAGCGCGCTCCACTGACGGGATCGCCTCATACCCCCTGGCAGCTCCACCGTCAAGAGCGGTGAGGGCGGAGGGGCATGCAGCGCGGGCAGAGAAAGGTGCCCTCCAAGACTGCGTGAGCCTACTGTGCACCTCCGGGAAGAAGGGGACGAGAGGCTTAGAGGGCTTCACCTTCTGTTCCTCTACATAACACCCATCTAGTCGGTCAGGCCGCGGAGCTGGGGGATGAACCATCTCTAACCCCACGGCCGAAGCAGCCAGGGAAAGCACGACTAACATGTCCGCTTCAGGATCCGTCTTGGCGGCACTTGCCTGTCCGGAGGGGGTGAGTGGGTCTGGATCTTCGTCAGACAGTGTAAGCCCACCCCCTGATACCGCAGAGGACATCTGATCTCTGGTGTCAGTGAGCTTCAGCGCTACCATCTGATTAGATGGATCACTCCCAGTGCACAAAGCTTGGATGGAGCGCTTGGAGGAGCGGTAGGTCCGTGAGCCCTTGGGCGGCGAATTATCTCCCGCTGAGACCCTCAGATCTGCCCTAGCGCCAGCTACAAAGCAGGAGGCAACTGGGGTGGTTCGCTCTCTGATGAAAGCTAGCCGCGATTTTAGCTGCGCAACGGTCATGGCATCGCAGTGACGACATGAACCGCTTGCGAGCACCACATTAACATGCTGGACCCCCAAACATGTAATGCAGTTATCGTGTCCATCATCTGGAGCCAGGAAACCCCCGCAACCAGAAACGCACAGTCGGAGCGCCATCCTGAAAAGGACGTGCTGCACGACTGTGTTGCTCTTTTAGGAAAAATGCAACTATATGCACCGCTCTTAGAGGACCGGACCCAAAGAACGCCAGGCAAGGGAGAATCCCAGCTCGACCGTCTGCCACCGCATATACACACTCTGGATCGGGAGACACTTGTTTGCTCAGAAGTCGCTGTAGACAGCAAGAGGAACCCTCATCGACTCGATCAGAAAAGTCTCTGAAGCGAAAAGGATGGCGTCTGCTTGCTCCACGTGTGCTTATGTGCTGGGTTAATTGGCAATGATGCACACCTGCGCAAGCTTACGCTGCCATTTCATTGGCCCGTTCAATACTCTTTAAGACAAGCGGCTTTTGAACCGAATCCTCCCAATTCGTGGATTTTCCTAAAATCAAATCCACTAATAGCATTGGAGTTCCCCACCCGAAGGAGAACTGTGTTTTCTGGACTCCTTAAGCGGTGGACTTCTACATTCTGATTGCTTGCCGCCGAACCACGTCATAGCTCATTACCATAAAGCTCACTTGATTTCAAATCTCCTCGACGTCCACACCGGCAAAGACGTGCCACTCCTCGCTGCTTATCACTGCCGGCTCTCATTGAAAATAAATGTCTTCCGGCTACATTGACGCTCTCGCCGCTTTCGGTGTGAATGTACAGTTAGTCACATACCTGTCTGATGGCTCATTATTAGGCCCACACAGAATCTGCGCACACAGAATTCCGCAGATTTTGCTGCAGAAATTTACAGATTTTTAGCCCATCATTAATTGTTTATTTGCTTGAGAAAATGTGTGTAAATCTATATTTATTCAGCTTTTAAATTAAAACAGTAATATTATTGACTAATATGAAAATGTTCATTTGATTTAAATACAATGCATTTAAAAAAAAAAATGCAAATGATTTCAGGCCAGCAGATTCATCAGATTTGAAAACGGGGAAAAATAATACTGATAATAATAGTACAAGGAGAAAACAAAACAAAATTAATAAAAGGAGAATTTGGGCAAAAAAACCCCAAAAACTTTTGCTTCTTACCCACGGAGCGGAGGGGTCAAGGGAAATGAGTGGAGAATGGCGAATGTGGAGGTGTGGATGTGAAGATTGAGTGCGTTGACGAACCCAGCCGGTGAGTCGGCAGCTGACTCCATGCCAGCGAGATAAATCGGTAATTTGATTGTGTTCAGGACACACTGCGCTGAAATGTGTACACGTTAATGGACCAAACTAAGTATTGTAACGATCGTCATTAGAATTTTCCTTATTATTATATGAGTGACGTCTGATTGGGTTACTACTGTCAGCTGATACAACGTTATTTAGAGTGCCTTGGATGGGTTTCTCGCTCTTTCTCTCATTCATTCCTTATCACGCAGTCAGCATGCAGGTGATTCCGGGTCACTGAGAGGTCATGCTGACTGAGTGTGTGTGTGTGTGTGTGTGTGTGTGTTGAGAGCGCACTGCGTACTTGTTGCTTTGAGTCCGTTTTTTGTAGCTCAATATGTGAACTGAGAGACATTTCAAGTGCATTGATTACCCGATTACTTCAGCATGCACAAATGGAAAATCTACCTTAGCGTATACGAACTGAGAGACATTTCAGAGTGCATTAATTACCCGATTACTTCAGCGTGCACAAATGGAAAATCTACTTTAGCGTATACGAACTGAGAAACATTTCAGAGTGCATTAATTACCCGATTACTTCAGTGTGCACAAATGGAAAATCTACTTTAGCGTATACGAACTAAGAGACATCAAGTGCATTGAATGTGCAATTGATTCAGCGTGCACAAATGGAATATGTACTATGTGTAAAGTGTACAACTGAGTTCTATAAGTTCTTGAATGTGTGATTGATTTGATTTGAACTTGAATTATTATGTTTGTGGGAATTTGATTAATATTGATTGTTGTATATTTAGAAGTGGTTTATTTGATTTATTTCTTTATGGTTGGTTGATGTATCACCCGTTGATGGTTTTGTTTGTAAAAGGTAATTAATAGGTATTGTGCCTGGGCCTGGAAATTTAAGTTTGTTTGGTTTATGGATTTACTTACAATGTGTTGAAGTTAAAGTTTGTTCTTTTCGTTTTCTTCTTTATTAACTCATTGATCTGTTGTATGATTGAATATCTGATTTGGTTTTATTAAATCATGCATCTGTTGAAACTTAAATTTTCATTTAATTGAATTATTTAAGAAACTGTAGTGGGGTTTTTCAACCCCTGGCGCCCAACCCACTTTATTAGCCAAATACTGCTACAGTAAGATCTGATTCATTTTACATTTAATGTGCATGAAAATTACAGCGTGTGTAGCCAATGTGTCTTTACACGTTTCAGCTGTTGATGAGAGTTTTTAAGACTTGGTGAAAAATAATGTTTTTTTTTTATTTCAGACCTATTTGAAGAGTATGAGGGGAGTAAAGAGGAGGAACATCATATCAAAATTGAGGAAAAATCTAATTTACAGACTGATGGTATTTTGAAAAGGAGAGACAAGAATCGTTTCACATGCACTCAGTGTGAGAATAGTTTTAACAGCTCATCACACCTTAATATACACATGAGGATCCACACTGGAGAGAAACCATTCACATGCACTCAGTGTGGGAAGAGTTTCAGCCAATCATCAAACCTTAATCAACACATGAGGATCCACGCAGGAGAGAAACCATTCAGATGCACTCAGTGTGGGAAGAGTTTCAGCTGCTCATCATACCTTAATCAACACATGAGGATCCACACTGGAGAGAAACCATTCATATGCACTCAGTGTGGGAAGAGTTTTAGCCAATCATCCTACCTTAATCAACACATGAGAATCCACACTGAAGAGAAACCATTCACATGCCCTCAGTGTGGGAAGAGTTTCAATTGCTTAGCACACCTTAATAAACACATGAGGATCCACACTGGAGAGAAACCGTTCACATGCACTCAGTGTGGGAAGAGTTTCAGCCAATCATCATCCCGTAATCTACACTTGAGGATCCACACTGGAGAGAAACCATTCACATGCACTCAGTGTGGGAAGAGTTTTAACTGCTTATCACACCTTAATAAACACATGAGGATCCACACTGGAGAGAAACCATTCACATGCACTCAGTGTGGGAAGAGTTTCAGCTGCTCATCAGACCTTAATAGACACATGAGAATTCACACTGGAGAGAAACCGTTCACATGCACTCAATGCGGGAAGAGTTTTAGCCAATCGTCATCCCTTAATCACCACATGAGGATTCACACTGGAGAGAAACTATTCACTTGCACTTAAGCAGTGGTCACACTGGACTTTTCTCCCCATAGACTTCTATTCATACGCACAAGAATGCGTCAGACTGAAAACGCAAGTTTGTGCATCAAGTTTCGCAGTTCACTCCATTGCAAAGTTCAAGCTTGATGAACTCTGACCTTCAAAATTGCATCACTTGACTGTGTGAGACCAATCGAAGATAAAAACATGACCTCTCTGGACAGAAATGTAAAATATGGACCAACCGCTCACTGTTTTTAATGCGTAATCATGTTTTTTAATCCCGCCCCTTTGCAAAGCTCCATACAACATAATTTTGAATGCTCAAACTCTAGTGTGACCACAGCTTCGGTGTGGGATGAGTTTCAGAAACTCCTCAGACCTTAATAAACACATGAGGATCCACACTTGGAAACCATTCACATGAACTCAATGTGGGAAGGGTTTCAACAGATCAGCAGACCTTAATGAACACATAAAGATTCATACTGGTGTGAAAGAGTATGTGTGCTTGAGTGTGAGAAGACTTTTCTTACAGCTCCAAAATTGAAACTGCACCAGACAATTCACACTGTTACATGAGGTTTAATCAGTTAACACATCTGAAAACACAAAAGGAGATTCACACTGGAGAGAAACCGTACAGATCTGATGAGTGTCTACAGAGTTTTGCTCACTCGGCGCAGCTTAAGAAACACATAGACAAAAAGTTGCACACATGACATGAATGCAGCAAAACATTTTCTCATGTGCACAGGATGTTTCATGTCTGAATAATGTTTGAAAAGGCTGAGTGACGATATACTGTTTTTTAACACTCCTTCACTGCAGTAGGTGAGGTTGGAAATGTGTTGTGCTCCTCGTGTTTACCTTAAACACAATGATGACGGCTGAGAGAAGAACAGTTTCAAAAACATCTGGCAAACAGCACCTCTGTGGCTTAAAATCTCTTTGCAAGTGATTGTACAGGTGCGGATACATCTGTACTCCACTCTCCAGTGTATTCATGTAGCTAGTGTTGTTTTAGATGATGTTCTCTGTCTGACTGCCTGAATGAGAAACAAATCACTGGGAAGACACCGCACATTAAAGAAGGTGGAGCTCCCGGGCGGTTAGTTAGCAGTATACCAGGGCCTCAAGTTTAGAAAGCCCATTAAATTGTTCTGTGTTGCAGCTTTTGTTAGTTAAGTTTCTTTACTTTTGGGTTCAAGATTCTTTCTAGTTTACTACATTTACTTTTTTGAGTAGAATACAAACTTGATGAATATTTGATGATTTAGGCAAAGCCACAGGTATGAAGTTTTACAATATTAATACACTGTGATGATCTCAACACTTCTGATTGAAGTATGTGGTAAATCCTGATTGGAGTATGTGGAGTATCCTGTTTGGATGCCAGCATTACTCATTAATGGGTATATAAAAGTTGTTATGCTAGCTACTCTAGGACGCTGTGGCCACTCGGGAGTCCTTATGTCAAGACCTGCCATTTCATTGTTTCTTTAATCTTATGGTTTTGTTTTGCATTACTTATATCATGTAGTTAAAGTGTTGTTGTGATTATATCCCGCTTTTGAGGCTCTTTTGGTCTACTTCACTTTGTCAGATAGGTCCTATTTAGGTGATTTCTTGATTGCGAACATGTGTGGTAGTAATCAGGTCTGGGTGTGGCTAGAGAACTTGAAGCCAGTGTGGTAAATTAAATTTTTGTTTTAATAAGAAAAAACATTTTCACATAGGTAGTATTTTGTCTTCCTTTTAATAATAAAAACCTTAATTTAAAAACTGCACAATGTGTTTAATTGTGTTATCTTTGATTTATATTTACATTTGTTTAATGATCTGAAACTGTAGTGTTAGATTTCTGCATTGCATTTTTTACATGCACATTACTAAACCAGAGAACATTTGTCATTTAAAGGTGCAGATTTAAGGCTTTATGCAGATATGTCTCATGTCTGTGAGGCAAATATTCAGAGATTTCAGCAGTTTTTTCTGACAGATTTACTAGTCAGGCACCAAATGAAAAACATTCCCTATCTGCTTTAAAAGTTTTACAAAAACATGTTGTTTTGTTGTGATTACGAATATATACAATTAGAAACTGGCCATTTACCGCTTTCAAATTTATGTCTCATCAATATGACCAAAATTGATCTGGGATCAATCATATAAGAATCCGCCTAAATGTGTATGTGTGTAATGAACCCCAGGAGGTTAATATGACAAGATCAATCTAAATATTATCTGCTATGTTTTTACATTTAATGTGCATACAAAATTAAGATTTGTGTAGCCAATATTTTAGTGCCTTTTCTATTCAGCTTTTGATGAGAGTTTAATGATTTACTAAACACTGAACTTTTTTTATTTCAGACCTAATTAAAGAGTATGAGGAGAGTAAAGAAGAGAAACATCGTGTCAAAATTGAGGACAAAACTCATTTAGGGACTGATGGTATTTTAAAAATGAGAGACAAGAGTTGTTTTATCTGCACTCAGTGTGGAAAGAGTTTGGCAAGCAAAAGCAAACTAAAGATCCAAATAAGAATCCACACTGGGGAGAAACTATTCACTTGCACTCAGTGTGGGAAGAGTTTCATCCACTCTTCACACCTTGATCAACACATGATGATCCACACTGGAGAGAAACCATTTACATGCACTCAGTGTGGGAAGAGTTTCATCTGTTGCGTTTATTACACAGATCCAGGTCAACATCAGTGCTGGTTTAGCATCAACACGTCTGTATCAAACAGCAATATTCTACTTCTATTTTGCTTCTTTGGCAATGTGTCTGTAGGCACGGGTTATACGTTATCGTCCCGCAAATTAAGTATGCCTTGCAGTTAAACAAGGGGCGAAAACGAGGCGCACCTCTCTGCCTTTATGTTGACAAGGAAAAAAGAAGAGGCGCGGTCCTCTTATGAAACGACTGAATCAGCTGGGTATCAATTGTGCAAAGGTGATGCTGTCTGTGTTGTTACAATTGTAATATTTAATAATATCGTGATATTCAAGATTTGTACATTCATACAGCTCTGGATAACTTAAAACAGAGATTAGACCTTCAGAGCGGCATTAATGTGTCCTGAAGTAAAGCGAAACGGCTATAAACTCCAGCAAGATAGAGTGATTATATGCAGAGCCATATACCTTTATCTCTAAATAAAGTATAACTATAGAAACTGTGTTCATCTTAACTGAAAGCTTCATCGTGTTTCCTGACCTCACGCATCACTCACCTGTCAGTCAGCACTCCCAAAGGGTCAAGCAGAAAGTGCACAGCACGGTTACAGAAAAGTTTGCGCTGTTATAATTCACTTACCTTTAGGCTACTGTTTCACACTGAGGCTTAATTCCTGTGCTTCAAACCACAAGTCAAGTAAACATTAAACAAATAAACAACTTATTTCTCTCAAGAAAACCAAAAAGTTGAAAATTCTTCAGAAACACCATCATGTCAACATTGCAGTGAAAAACGTGACAACTTTCCTTACTCTGTGGAGTCGTGACATCTGGTGAACGCCCATCCCTCTCTGTGCAGCCACATTAACAGTGTGAGCAAAGCATCGTATATGCTGTGAAAATCCGGCCGCTTTGACAGCATTTGCAATGTTTCTGCCGTTGTCTATTGTCAAGCGGGGTTACGTTAATTTTGTTTTTGATATTCCTGACACATTCAGACGGTCCCTTACTAAGAGCTCCGTGCGAGCTCTCCCGGCTAAACGCATATTGCAAGGGCATAAATGGAGCAGTGCTCGTGATGTCGAGTGAAAAAAAATTGTTTCCTCACGTTCTTCTTCAACTAGCTCAACTTTTGCAGGCACGCGTGACGTTATTGGAAAGGTACTCACGGGGTGTGTCGCGAATCTCCTTTATCACAATGCGACACAGGATCGTAGATTCACGATTTCGATTTCATATCGTGTATTATTACAGCCCTAGGCGCCATGTCCGAATGATACAGTGACACTGACAAAGCGCTGCATCAACCTCTTTGTGCCAAAGTTCATGCAGAGTAGCAGTGTCCCTGGCAACCCTAATGGGCACTTTAGACTGCGAGTTTTAAGGCATTTGCGATTAAGGCATTGTCCAAAGCAACTCGGAAAAGCATGTGACCGTCAGATTATAAGACTGACGTGCTGCCTACTGCGCCAACGAGGCAGATTGCAGGAGCTGGGCAGGCTGTGACACACCAGCTTCCATGTCACTGTGCTGCGATGTGGGTCCTAGGAGACAGCTCAGGCCATACAAGCATGTCAGTATGGCAGAGCGGTCTAAGGTGCTGTGTTCCGGTCACAGTCTCCCCTGGAGGCAAGGGTGTGAGTCCCACTTCTGACAAACCCAACTTTTGGCTATGCGTTTAGGCACACGTCTTTAACTCTCTGGCATGACCTGGCATGTCCGAGTGATACAGCTACACTGACAAAGTGCTGCATCAATCTCTTTGCGCCAAAGTTCATGAAGCGTAGCAGTGTCCCTGGGCACTTTAGACTGCAAGTTTTAAGGTGTTTGCGATCAAAGCATTGTCCACAGCAACTCGTAAAAGCATGTGAACAAAACAATGGTCGAGGGCTTTAATGCAAGTGCACTGAAAGGAGATCAATAGAACTGTCTTGGAATGCCATGTAGTAGAATGTCCTGGGATGCCGTTGATTTTTAAGGCAAGAGGATTTGCAGGACTTTTCGTCAAATCCTTGTACAACGTCAAATAATGACATTTGACAGATCCACACAGAACGTTAAGTGATTACGTGTCAGGAATGGGAGCATCTTGCCATCATTGCTTCAGACTCAGGAAATGTTCTTGGAACTTCACGCTGCATGAACCACATGGAAGTGGATAAAAACGCAGCCCAGTCATGTAAGCACTCCCGTGTGCCAAAAGGTACCACCCTGCCCCGCGTGAGGTTTGAACTCACGACCTTCAGATTATGAGACTGACGCGCTGCCTACTGCGCCAACGAGGCGGACTGCTGGAGTTGGGCAGGATGTGGAACAACAGCTTCCATGTCACGGTGCTGCGGTGTGCGTCCTGGGAGACAGCTCAGGCCAGGTAAGCATGTCAGGATGGCCGAGTGGTCTAAGGCGCTGCGTTCAGGTCGCAGTCTCCCCTGGAGGTGTGGTTTCAAATCCCACTTCTGACAAACCAATCCTTTGGCTAAACGTTCAGGCTCAAGTCTTTAAATCTCTGGCGCCATATCCAAGCAAGTGGTGCTCGCTGCAGAGCCATTTGGGCGAGCTGAGCTCCAGCGAGGGAGAGCTTGAGCTCCTCCTTTTTTGCACTTCTTCAACGAGTGATGTCACTGGGGGTAGGGTTAGGGGTGGGGTTGGTGTACGCATTAAAACAGCTTACAGGAGGAGGAGCGAGAGCTCATGCTCCCCTTTGCTGGAGCTCAGCTCTGCTCAAATGGCTCTGCAGCGAGCACCCTCTCTATCCAAGTGACAAAGTGCCGCATCAACCTCTTTGCGCCAAAGTTCATGCAGCGTAGTAATGTCCCTGGCAACCCTAATAGGCACTTTAAACTGCAAATTTTAAGTCGTTTGCTATTAAGGCATTGTCCACAGCATCTTGGAAAAGCATGTGAACTAAACAATGGACGAGGGCTGTAATGCAAGTGCACCGAAAGGGGATCGAAAGAACTGTCTAGGAATGCCATGTAGTGGAATGTCCTGAAATGCTGTTGATTTTAAGGCAATATGATTCGCAGGACTTTTCGTCAAATTCTTGTACAACGTCAAGTCATGACATTTGACAGATTCACGCTGAACGTCAAGCAATTACTTGACAGGAATGGGAGCATCTTGCCATCATTGCTTCAGATTCAGGAAATGTTCTTGGAACTTCACGCCTCCTGCCCTCCAGAGAAGCTGTAGCATTTTTTGCTCCCGGTAAGCATGAACCACATGGAAGTGGATAAAAAACGCCGCCCAGTCATGCAAGCGCTCCCATGTGCCAAAAGATACCACCCTGCTCCGTGTGAGGCTCGAACTCACGACCTCGACATTATGAGACTGATGCGCTGCATACTGCGCCAACGAGGCGGACTGCTGGAGCTGGGCAGGATGTGGAACAACAGCTTCCATGGTTCAAATCCCACTTCTGACAATCCCCAACCTTTGGCTATGTATTCAGGCGTAAGTCTTTAACTCTCTGGCGCCATGTCTGAGTGATAAAGTAACACTGACAAAGCGCTGCATCAATCTCTTTGTGCCAAAGTCACTGTGCTGTGGTGTGTGTTCTAGGAGACAGCTCAGACAAAGCAAGCATGTCAGGATGGCTGAGCAGTGTAAGGTGCTGTGTTCTGGTTGCATTCTCCCCTGGTGGTGCGGTTTCAAGTCCCACTTCTGACAAACAAAACCTTTGGCTAAACGTTCAGGCTCAAGTCTTTAAATCTCTGGCGCCATATCCTATTGACAAAGCGCCGCATCAACCTCTTTGCGCCAAAGTTCATGCAGCGTAGTAATGTCCCTGGCAACCCTAATAGGCACTTTAAACTGCAAATTTTAAGGCGTTTGCGATTAAGGCATTGTCCACAGCAACTCGGAAAAGCATGTGAACAAAACAATGGACTTGCCCTTTCAGTGCACTTGCTTTAATGCAAGTGCACTTAAAGGGGATCGAAAGAACTGTCTTGGAATGCCATGTAGTGGAATGTCCTGGGATGCTATTGATTTTAAGGCAACATGATTCGCAGGACTTTTCGTCAAATCCTTGTACAACGTCAAGTCATGACATTTGACAGATTCACGCTGAACGTCAAGCATTTACTTGACAGG